GCCCGGAACCCTGCCCGGGAGTCATGCCCGGCCGGGCACCCGGGCGTGTACCCGGGCAGAAGTTGGGTGCCCGGGCGCCCGGGAAAACAGCCTAGGTTCAAAGTACATTTATCCCAAAATATTTTTTGAATTTTTTTTCCCCTCACACCCATGAGAGCGAAAAACCGCCAAGTTGGGAGTCTCAAAATTTTGTGCCCCCCTTTGGCAGCCCCAGTGACTTAGGGCATTCCCACACTACAACTTTCCATGATTGAGAGCACATTCATATTCCAGAAAGCTCCCTTGTGACCGCACCCGCTCTGCAAATGAAGACAACAAGAGGAGTACATGCAAAAAGAAGGCAGTAGCGGAATATCGGGGCGTAGGATGGACTTCAACACGATCGCCGTTGGCTTCATAGTACCTTCATACCAAAACTCCACTTTTTTATTTATTCTCTTTTCGTTCCGCACAAAAAGAGTTCACTACGCGTGCACACAACGCGTTTTGGCTGGATGCACTTAAATTTGAAAATAAAAAAAATTGGAACCAGCAGGCCGGTACATCCCCCACCATACGCGGCGCCAGCGCTGCCGCAACGTAGAAAAATGGCAGGGGAAAGTGCTGGTGGCCACAGAAAACCCAGCTTGGAAACGCACGGATAGAGATGGAGGTAGGTAATCACCCATTATCTCTGACTCGCAAAGACACCAAGATGGCTAAACATGAGTTAAGAGCATACTTGCAAGCAGACGGACCGGACGAGCGTCCGGTCCGGTCCGCTTTGCCGCGTGCGGCACCCTCCCCCCGGGACCAGACGGACCCGGACCGGACCGGACGGGGGTGTTTTTTTTCTTTTTTCTTTTGGGGTGGGGCGTAACTGGTCGTCGGGCGCACATTCGTGAGCCGCGCGGGTCCGGTCCGCCGGTCTGCCGCACGTGCGGAACCACCCGGACGGCATCCGCTTGCAAGTATGGTTAAGAGCGGCGACTGGAAGGGGTTACAAAAAAAAAAAAATAGTAGAAGATTGATCACATACGGGCTGAGGACATACGCGACTGGAAATAAGTACAAAAGCTAAGCAGCAAACTCTCAGGAAGCCATAACGTGGCGGACAACCTACAATAGACGATATCCCTTACTAGCTTTGAGGGAATAGCGGGTCTCGCGTAACGCTCCCGCGAGAACCCGCATCCAGTGTTGGGAACGGCGCGGGACAGGCAGCCTTGGGCCCAACGGGGAGCGCCGCAGTTGTTGCGGGTTGGCGGGTTCGCGATTCGACTGCGGGGGCCCGTTGAGTCGTTCGTATGAGACTGAATTCTCCTCTGGAACATGGGGAGATACACAGGTTCCCTTTTGTTCATTTGTTTCGTTTCTTTTGTTTTTGTCGTTTTGCCAGTTTCCTTTTGGTCGTTTCTTTCCTTTTCTTTCTTTTTTCTGTCGTTTTGCGGGTTTGCTTTTGTCCCGCCCATTGTTTTCGTTTTGGCCTGAGGGCCTCGCTGCGCTACTCTCGAAATGTGCAAAACGAGAGTGAATCTTCGCTAGAAACGTGGCGAGATACGCCCCCATGATTTTTGTTTTTTGTGCCTGTCGAGAGTAGTGCCGCGATGCCCTGAATCCACTGCTAGAACACGGAGAAATACATTGCCATCTTTTTTGTCTTTTGCGCACATGGAGAGTACCAAGCGTTCACTCCGCAGCTCTCCAGATGTTCTAAAATGAGACTGGATCCTCAGGCAGAAAATGGCAAGATGCACCAGTTTTCCTTTTTTTTGTCGTTTTGCAGGCCCTGCATCGGGAAAGTTCGTTTAGGATGGCTCCTGCGCAAGGATCACATTTGCAAATCGAGGGGAAAAAGAACTACTTCAACAAAAGAAAAAACTACTTTCTTTTTGGGGTCTGTCGCAGACGTCGCACAGCTGCGCGTTCGCGCACAGCACCTGCGGCCCGCGTGTTGCTTTTCCGTGTCGGAAAAGGGCAGTGGGGACAAACGGGATGAGCGGGAGGAGGGGGATGGGAGGGTGAGGACCAGGGCAGTGGACGGGGGGAGGGGCAACGCAAGGAGCAAGAGAGGGACCAGCGGGAGAAGGAGGA